TATATTTTAATTAAATATTTAAATGCTTAAATCATGTGCTTAGCTGATTCTATTCGAATATTTTTAATCATTTTAATTTTGATGCTCAGCTAGCTGATGAGCATTCGCTTTCTATTATCGAATATTCATTGAGCTCGCTTTGCACTTTCACCACTGTTCGAATGGTGCTGACTGCATTCATTGTTCCATTGCGCTTGTAATTCTGTCTGGGCTGCCTTTGTGCTCAGCCTCTGTTGCAGTTTCAGTTGAAGCTAGAGATCGGAGACGGCAGTCGTTGCCAACTGCCAGTTGTTGTTGTTGGCAGTGGTTGTCGCCGCCACAGTTTTTTTTGTTTCTTTTTTTTTTTTTTTGGAGTCCCCATTGTCTGTGTGGGAAACTGGCGCGCTTGCCTTGTAAAAACTTCTGGTGAACAATGTATCCGCATCCACTGTCATTGGAGTGCGCGCACAGTTTTCAATGCCAAATGGTTTATGCATCGGCATATTACCAATCATAAGCATGGCTCATAAGCATTTCGGACACAATGCGCAAACGCCACATAAATTCAGCAATGGCCGAGAGTCGAGAGCCGAGAACCGAGAGCTGTGAGCCGAGATCCGAGTAGAGAGCGCAAAGAGCGATATGCATATGCGGATGGTTTAACCTAGATATTGAGTCGCAGCATCTTTTTGGTGCCAATCATTATATTTTAACAGCTTGTTTGCTCGCTTGTTTTACAAATTGAAATCGCCTGTCCGGCGATCAGTGTCCGGCGTTCGCGTTGCCAATGTTACAATAAATTTAAATAAACACAAGCCTTTTTGCCGACGACTCGAATAGGGGATTTGGATGTGGTGCTCGTTGTAGCTGCGAACGTTGCAACGTTGCGATGGTGCCGTTTGCATCCTGGCCTAATCGCTGCGTTTAATTTACTTAAATTATACTAATGATCTTGAGCGCTCCTCGCGGCCAAGTCGCTTGGCCACAACTCTCAAGTCATTTGTTTTGGCTCGTTTGCAGGCGGCTCAATTGATTTGGCCAAAGCAGCCGCCAAAGCAGTCGCCGACGACGACGACGACGACGTCGGCGTTGTCCGAGTGGACGTTGCTATTGCTGTTGCTGTTGTTGTTGTTGCTGCTGCTGCTGCTGCCGGGGCGAGTGCGAATACGAGTGTTGAAATTGAGGGCCAACAGCGAGTGGAACGTTGTGCGAGTGTCGCTAGATATGGCCTGACATTTAGATGAAGTGTCTGTGAATCTGAGCCGGGTCTCTCTCAGTGCCCAGCTCCAGCTGCGTTTTGCTCTGGCTAAATGTCGACTGTTGTCGTTGTCTTTACCATTGGCCGTTGCCGTTCTCCATTCGCCGTTTGCCTCTGCAGTCGGCCCATGTAATTCCATTCATAAACAAAACTTTAATTTTATTGCACATTCGAGTTGACACAGTCAGCAGTGAGCAGCCAACAGCCAGCACTGAACAACATCTGCGAACCTCTTTGGCTGTGTGAAGGCGTTGCCGAATGGGTGTGGGCACTTGGCCAGGGCAGTTCGATTGCCCATGCCAGTCGCTAGGGGTACTCACAAACGATTATCATAGAGCTCAAAATGGCTCAATTAGGTCCCATAGGCCGGCCTCTTGGCGGCGTCTTGGCCAAGCGCTTATTGATTGGCAATGCATAGCTTTTGGCTCAAATCACTTCGAGCAGCGAGTTGACAAACTTGTAAGAATCTATGGAATTCTCAGTGAAATCCTCAATTTAAATGTTGATATGTGCATTCGAGGCTGGTTTAATCATTTGCAGTTTTATATTCTGTAAGTATTATCATAAGTAAGAAGAATCCAACTGAATTAATCCATAGATTGTAAAGTGATCAATGACAATCGGTATTTAGAGCAAGAAATTTATATTTAGTTCATTTGATTATTTCAATTAATTTATATTCTAAATTTTTATATTTCCACTGTTTAATATTAAATTTAATAGGTATTTATAGTTTTAGATTTATGGGTTAGTTTTAACATAAACCCAAAAGAGGATTTCTCAGGCATGTTTAAATTCAATTAAATATTACTATATAAATTTTATATTTAGAAATACCTTTTTTTTTTTTAGCTAAATTTGGAAATTTTAAAAGCTCTTTATGAACAATAGGCGTCAATGATATTAAGAAAGTGTGTGTAGAAAATGCTAAAAGAGATGTGAGTGTGGACTGGTGTGAGATAGCTTACATTAATTAGAACTTCTATAGCTTATAGTGAATTTTTTGATTCCATTTTGCAATATTTATAATTGAACAAATAGCTATATAATAACTTTTAACTCTTCTATATGTAAAATAAATAAATTTTTAGAGTATACAACTATTTAGAATAAATTACAAATAAATAACGGAAAATATATACAGGTATATATATAGCAGTTTTTATTTGTAATATTAAATTCTTAATAAAATTAATTAAAATAATTACAAGTACAAGCATTGCTTAAACTATTTTTTTTTAATATAAATATATGAAAAATTAAAATTTTGAATAATAATGTATTATTCTATTAATATAGCAATTACAGCCGATTCTTGTTATTTCAAACATGCGTTATTTCGAACCTCTCATTAATTCAAAGTTATCACTCAGTAATTCGAACTAAACATCATTGCTAAGATTCGGTAATTGGTACTCATATGGTTAAACACTCGACAATTCGAAATATTTTAAGAGTCCCTTGAATTTCGAAATAACGAGAGTCGGCTGTATTTTAATTAAAATGCGTATAATTTCTTGTAAATTAATTTTAATTTTATAAGCTAATAATTTGTAATTTATTTTTTAGCTTTCCACTTTTTACTCATTTAAAGTCCATAAATTTGTAGATCTTTATCCCCTTGCACATACACATATTTATTGCAGCAACAACTACACTGACATCTCGACAATTGGCCAAAGAATTTCGAGCAAATAAAAATACAATAAATAGAAATAAAATAAATGTGCCTGGGCCAGCCAACTATGCCAAGCTATTTTCGCCATTGACACCCATGCGAACATTGTTAATTAATTAAAAAAGAAAAACTAACAGACGATTGCGTTGACAAGATAAAACAGCAAACGGCTAAAGGCAAGAGAACAGCACACACACACATACTCACGATATAGCCAAATGTAATAAATTGTGACAAAAAGTCAGCTAAAATATGTTGGCGAAGGCGTCAAGGTGTGACATTGACCCTCGATAAGTAGTCTGTGTGAGTTTTTGTGTCAGTGTGTGTGTGTGTCTGACTGTGTGTGGCACAAATCTAAAAACGTTATCGCAGCAGCAACAGCAACAGCAACAACAACAACAACAAACATTACAATTTAAAAGTGCATAAAAATGTTTATTGGCTGGGCGAAATCAAGTTCGCTTTTAGTTTGCCAAGCGGCGACAATAAACTACACTGTGCAACAAAATGTCAAGTCAATTCTAACTAAATATTAAAGCATCCTCAAATTTACATAAATTTAATAAACAATGAATACAGCTTTTATAATATATAAATAGTGTAAATATATGAATATTACATTCGAAATATTTGACTTGTAGTTCAGTGTTTATAGACGGTCAGGGCCAAGTTTTAGTTTTGCTGCTGTTGCTGTTGTTGCAAGTGGCAAGCCCGCGCAGCTGCTGCAGCAACAATAATAGCAACAACAACAACAACAACAACAATATAGAACACAGCTGCGGCTAAGACAAGACTCGCATAGCTAAATTATTATCAAGTTCTTTCTCATATTTTTCGCTTGGTACAAATTTGCGCAAGGCAATTATTGGCAATAGCAGAAATATTTTTGATTTGCAATTTTCTCACGGCCCGCAGAGCGAGTAAAAGGCTTTCACAAAAATTGAGCAGCCAATTGGTTTGTCAATGGCACAATTGAATCTTTCAAGCAGATTCACAATTAGCCAGCAGCATTAGTGGCAGCAGCAACATTAGCAACAACAGCAGCAACATACTGACAGCAACAACGACAACATTGGCGCATACAAATGGTGTTAAAGCCTGAGCGCAAAATGTAATTTGTTTTCACACAACATAATCAACATGATAACCCCGGCCAAAACGTCTTTAGATTGAGTCTAATGATGATAAACGCTTTTACTGTGAGGTAACTACAGACTTCTGACACCGACGCAGCAGACACAAACCATTGCCCACACCAATGCAGCAACAGTCGAAGAGAGAGCGACCGACTGGCAACAGGCACAACGGCAACAGGCAACGGCAACAGCAACAGCAACAGCAACAGCAACTGCTGCAACTGGCTGCATGGCCAATAATAAGTCAACATTCCAAGGCGTGTTAAGAGATGCTCGATTAAATGCCTCAATTGTGGCTCATATTGAACACCAAGGCGAGCGCGACCCAGCAACATCGACACCACACACCACCTGTCTGCAAAAAGCGCGCTGAGGAAGAAGAAGAAGAAGCAGCGGCAGCAAATAGCACCGCCCCCACCAACGGTCAACTTTGTACCCATTGCCCGTTGTCCGTTGCCTGTTGCTTGTTGCCTGTGTTGCAAGTGTTGCATTGTTGTTATTGCTCGCAGTGCTTGCCTGACTTTTAGCACTGAGCAACAACAGCTCGCAATGGGCGAAATCGTTTAGTGTCGTACCTAACTAAGAAAACGTATTTTCAATATCGAAATTATTATTATTAGCTGACAGCAAATCGCAGTTTTCGACTGTTGCTGTTGCTGTTGTTGTTGTTGCTGTTGTTGCTGTTGCTGTTGTTGCGCCGCGTTGCCGGCGCATATTGTAATAAATGGACAGGCCTGTTATTGTATGCACTTTGTATATGATATGCGAGTACTAACCCAAAACTTAGCTCGAGCACACTACAATAATTGAGCACCATCAATTGCTGTTACACTTTGTCTGAGAATATAAATGAGGACAACAAGAATTGCAGGTGAGAGCTGAAATGCTAGAAAATCTTGTTATTTACTTATTTATTTATTTTTATTTTATTTTTTTTTTATTTGCTTTTTTTTTGAGTTAATTGAATT